AAGAAACTAACAGTGTCCGGAGAGAGAGAGAGAGAGAATGAGAGAGAGCAGGAGGTGAGAAGGATGACTGAAAGTAGGAGAGAGAGAGAGTTTCCATAATGAGTCCTGCAGCCATGGAGTAAATGAAGAGGGATTGACAGAATGAGGGATCCTCAAGTGAAATAATGTCAATGCCACTCTGCCCATTAGAGAGGAAAAAAGGGGATGGGTGGAGGAGAGGGTAAAGAGGGATGAATGGAGGGACACAGCTACATCTACAGGGCGCGCAGGAAGCGCATCAATTATTTGTGACACCCCCCCCCCCGCCATATACACGCAGCACTGAAAAAAATATGAAACAACAAAATGAACTGACAACAGCGGCAGTGGCGGCTTGGAGAGAGAGAGAGGAAAGGGGAGGGGTGGGGGGGGGCAAAAAAAAAAGTGCTCGAGAAGATCCAATAAATTGTAGCAGATACGCAGTTGAGATATTTGATGTCGAACAATAATAACGGCGGTGACATCTGCCGGCCCCGTCCCGGAAGAGCTGCGAGCGGAAGGGGTTAATCTCCCAAACCCAATAAGGTTGGATAGTGAGGCACTTGTTCGCTGATAAAGAAGCGATCGGATCTGCTCGGGTCGCTCCCTGGGCGCTTGTACACGGGGTAGAGCAAATATTGTTCATGAGCCGCGGTGGTTGACTTGGGCTAAGGCGAGCAAAAACAGAGCCGAAGAACACCGGCGAGGCGCAAGACCCCGACACAGAAACGGCGGCCTGAGCCGAGCCGAGCCGAGCCGGCCTCCCGGGGTACCTCGAGTTGCATACGCAAGTGTTGGAAGGGGGAAGATTAAGATCTTTAAGTGTCTCCATTTCTTCTTTTGCCTTGTCACAACAGAGATCTGAACGCAGTTCAGTGGAGTGCCTAATAACCGGAGCGGTAGGTAGGGAAGGCGGGGGGGGGGTTGACATTAAGACCCCGGCGTTTTGGAAATCCGATATACGCTATTGACCTGCGCGCAACTATCTCAGCGCCGAGATCTGGTGTCAGCAGATTGTAGCGCGGTGTCGGGAGCGGTTCCTTCTTACGGAGGGGGGGCTCCTGTAACAGGGGCCCATTGAGTCTGGGGAAGGCAGCTGGGGTCCTGATGGGCCGGGGCATCGGCCCCCGGCGATCGATACTCGCTACCCTGCAACGGATGACCTCACTGTCATGGCTGCCGGCTGCGGACACTGCAAGCTAGTCATTAGTAGCGGGGCACCAGTCCGGGAGCTTAGCCTTGTCAATACCTGACTCGTATGGATACAGATGGCCATCTGTCGGCGTATAGAGTGACAGGGAAAGCTTTTGTGTGTGTGTGTGTGTGTGTGTGTGTGTGTGTGTGTGTGTGTGTGTGTGTGTGTGTGTGTGTGTGTTTTTTTTTTTAAATGAAATAAATTGACAGTATTGCGCCGCCACTCGCTCAATAATGCAACACTATCCTTATTTGCCCCTCGTCATTGCAATCAAAGAGACGGACATTTATGCATGAGTGACATCAACCCGGCAATTAAGCCGGCTATATAAATGAGAGATGGCCCTCATCAACTCGTCTGTTTGTTTTTTTTTTTTTTCTTACTCACTTTCTCTCTCTTCAACCCCCCCCCCACCCCCATCCCTCTGTTTGATGATAGGAGAGGGCGAGCTAGAATTAGGGCGATGGGTCTTCCTTTGAGTGTCAGCCTAAAATGATCAGAGTAAAGATAAGAGGGTCTAGCAGCCCTCAAATCAGTCAAAGTGCCAAAGTCGGCCTTTTTCTCCTCAATTACCGGCTGTGTGAAGCCGGGGAGTGGAAGGCGCCGAGCCTGCTGCATTACTAAAGAGACAATCTATTTCCCCTTTGACCAGAGGGAGAGAAATCATTATGGCATGATTAGTAGCTTCGGCAGTGGGCGAGCGTTGGAGGTACAACGGGAGAGGCGTATTAATTGCCGCAGACTCGGAGGCGCGAGCAAGGGATTGTTCTAATGTTGATTTGTGGAGCGACCGTGACTGGCAGGCCGACATAAAAGCTGATGTCAGCTCTTCGTTATACTGGCGCGCGCACAGAAGCTTGATGTCAAAATGAGCCGCGGCCCCCGGAAAAAGTCTTCCTCTCGATTCGCGTCAATGTCTTTCTTCCTCTTTGTCGATCACCGCGCTCGCCCCCACCGCAGCGCCGATGCCCACTTTTCTCAGGTGGACGCCACCCCCGCCCCTTCTGTTCTCTCTCACCTCCAACTGATAGCTGCCTCGGCCGATTATTTCATCCGGCCTAGGTCCGCCGAGAGCCTCCTCTGCCGGCTTTGGAAGAGCTTTAATTAGCCATGTTAATATCCCCTTCATTGGCCTTAATATCACTCAACACCTTCCTCCATCTCGGCGGCCACCAGGGCCCCCCTGTCCTGTCAGAACAGCTGATTATTGAGAAGGATAGCTTTAATCAAACCTAATTGCAGTTCATTCTTTCTCGCTATCCCCCTTTGCCCTCCATTGCCAACGTCTAATGGCGGCGACGACTTGATATCCCATTAAAAAACAATTAAACAAGCTCCTTTTGTCTCGGCGCGTGCCAAAACAAGAGCACAAACTTCTGTAGATATTTAAGAAGTAAAAGAGCGGGAGAGAGAGGAAAAGGGAAGAGGGGCCTCGTCTTAATTGCTCTCCTTTCCACGGAGGACCAATTTGCGGCGCGCTCACGGAGAATCTTAACCAACTCAAACGTAATGGATGCTATAGGACCGCCGCCGTTGGACGATGAAAATTAAGCTTATCTTTTTAGTGGCGAAATTGAGCTTAATTGCCTTCATAACAGTAAACATAAAGGAGCTTCTTTATGAACACGCGCGTCCAATTTCTCGCGTTTATTGTTTTGTTACTTTTTTTTTTTTTTGCTCTCTGGTAGCAGGAACAGCGTGTTGGGGGGGGAAAAAAAAAAAAGTATCCAAGAAACGTCCAACTCGGAAAGTAATGTGTTTGTTTTATGAAGTCAGTGCATTGTTTGGCAAATGTATTCCATCTCTTGTTCAGACATAAATTGCGTGTGTGTGTGAAGCAGGCGCGCGCACAAACACACACGGCGCCGCCCGGCCTTAGCCAATCTGTACGAGAGGCGACAGACAAATAAAAGTCGTATTTCAGGTCTGCTTTCCACAGATGTCTGCTGCTCTACATTATGACTCTTTGGGGAAATAAAAACAGGGTCAGGGAATTAGAGTACATAATGGTCATTTTGATGATCAGCCAACAGATGCAACCCGAAAACACAGCGAACACAATCAAGTGAAATGCTCTAATGACAAGTCAGCTTTTTTTTACGGCCCTCACCGCCCGCCCGCACACCGACGGGCAATCAGCATCCTGGCACGGGTTAAAACGTCTTTTATTGATGTCCGAGCCAAAGCTCCTTGTGATGTGGAGGGGAGGGGGGGAAAAAATATTTTCTCACCTCACCTCTCCCTCCTGGGCCCTGCGGGGCCAAGTACAAGGTATAGGAGTCTATCGAAGAACGCTTCCAAATGACCGGCGCGTGCGTTAATGTGGCCCCGGGGTTAGGAGGGTCATTCCAGCCGCTTGATTTACGGCCGCCGGGCGAAACGGCCGAGTCTTAAGTGTTGAGAAAGCATCCTGGCAGGCCGCACAAGCCGCCGTATTTAGCGCAATGAAATGGCAACGGCGGCGATCGAGGCGGAGGGGCGCGATCTATGGTAATCCGATGAGTCGCCGCGATGGTGCGGTCCCCGCTTGGCGAGGTACAATAGAAACCGCAGTG